CCCCAAACAATCCATTTCGAGAGGCAAAACCATTTGAATAACGATCATATCAATCCTTGTAATAACAATAATCATTCGAAACATTATACGTAGTACATCCAATACGATAACAATATAACAATGTGCCAAAGCTAATTAGACCACAAGGGTCAAACCAATGGGACCGTAATGGGTCAATCAGTGATTCATAATTCAATGTGGACCATTAAGATCTAATTAACATTAGAGATCTTTGTATTTCAATTAATCTAATGGGCCATGGTATTGTTTCCCCTAGGTAAGGGCCTATTAATCAATGAGCCATTCATGGTATTGTTTCTCTCAGGCGAGGGCCTCACTAATGGATGCCGCGATTACAATTTCAAATAAGACATTCATTTATAGACAGAAAAATAGGATTCAAAATATCAATCTGGAACAATTTCAAAATAATTTTCGAACATAGCTTTATAAAGATATTACTCACAGTGTGTTATATCAATATTAAGTTTCAGGCGGCCATCTACAAAATACATATAACAAAGCATGCATTGAAATACAAGTCTCAATCAAACATTTTATCTTAATTCAATCCTCTTTTAATGTGTTTCTAGTTTATACCATAGCTAAGGATGTCTAAATGATACTTAAGAATGCCTAAAAGGACATGAGGATGCAAAGATGTACATATAGGTGTTTGTCAAAAATTTCTGAAAACAAGATTTTTGCAACCTTTGGTAGCTCGAGTAGTGGGGCTTGACTGCAAAGTACTGAATGGTGTCAAAGTAGGCTCAAGCCATCACTTGGTCGCTTGAGCCAAGTGCAATGCAAAGTCAAGTTCGCTTGAGAGAACACTTGGTCACTCGACCCAACTGCAAATGTTTGCGAAAATCTGTTTTAGGCCTATTTAGGGCTGCCTAATTCATGTTTAAGTCCATCCTCTATTTGGTTTGCATGGCCCCATGCTTGCTTGTATGCTTGCATAAGTTTGTTGCCATGCCATGTTGCATCCTTGGCTTGTATGCCTAGGTTGCATTGCATCTTGCATGCATGCCTTGTTCCTTGACTTGATGATAGGAATTGGGCCTTGGCTTGTTTGATTGGTTTGCATTTCATTTGACATGAAAGTTGCATACTTGGTTCTTTGGGCCATCATGCATGGAAATGCGTGATTGGTGGTCCGAGAATCGAGGCACATGCCCCTTTGAGTCATTACAATGATAAGGGACATGGTTGGTGCATATATGCCTTGAATTGTGTTGCCATGCTTTGCCTTGTCCTCTGTTGCTGTCATTTGCAGGTTCTGCAGGAGCACTCTGCCGACCGGCAGTTTTAGGTGCCGACCGGCAATCCATTCTCTGCCGACAGCTTCATTTTGTGCCGGTGGTCATACCACACTGCCGGTGGCAATTTCACCTAGCCGGTGGTGATCCTCTCTGTCCAAGGGAGCAGTCTTGAGGTTTTGACAGCCTCCAGAGGAGTGAAGGAAGGAAAACAGAGGCAGCTTGTGCATGGCGGCACGCTTCCCGAGGCGATTTACTGTTTTCCTAGATTAGTTAATTAGTTAATTTGTAATATTAATTAGCTTGCGTAGTTAATTAACCTGTAAAATTTATTTGGTCCCTCCGAGTGAGGGCAAATCTGTAATAAGTGTGTGTGGGTGGTGTGTATGTCTTCCAATCCCCACTTCTTTCTTCCCTTTTATTTACCAGCTTATGATGGTAGATTAGGGCATTTTAAAGTTAGCATACCTTATGCTATGCATGCGTGCATCCATGCATTTGTATTGCATACATTAGGCTCGGTACATCACGCTAATTGCATCTGTACTTCAATTCAAAAAACTGAATATGTGATGGTTGTGCATTTTCACATGACATGTTTAGGATAGCCGAGCCTATTCTAGCAACATTTTGTATGCGATGCATTAGGCACTTAACATGGACTTGGATCATGCATGTTTGCTAACAAGTTCTTTGTTTTTGGCACGGAGTACTATGTAAGTATTTTAATGCTTTAGCATGTTGCATGTGTGTGAATGCTACCATGACAGTATGTTTACCATGTGGCTAGATGCTTACGTGATAAACTGTTTTAATGCCTGTGGGTGGAGGTTGAATTGTTTGAGTTGGAAAAGCTCGTTGAAATCCGCGTTTTAGCCTACTTGCGAGTAGCAAATTCCAAAACATTTTCCAAAACGAACGGATATACAATGATTATTTCCAAATTAGGCAATCTAGTCTATACTTGTTTGCTGCGCGCATAACATAGTAATTCTAGGCTAATAAATGGAATAAGAACACATAACGTTTTCAAAATCGGATATCATGGTTAGTAGAGGTCGGTCTTCGGACCGGGCGAAAGGGGGTGCTCATAGCTGACCTTCCCCGATCGTACCCAAGCTCCCGAGCCGAGACAACTCCGGTGATGACGGACATGTGGCCTTCGGCACCGAGTCAGGGTTTCCTAAATTTCCCCATTTTAAAATATTTAGGTGGTGACTCTGTATCTGGCAAAGCAGTCCATTGTTTGGCACTACTTTTCAAAAAAATCTGTTTTCTCAAACGATTTGCCAGATTTGGACTCTTTGGTTCAGATTTAGAACCGCGACAACAAAATCGCGAGTCTGAACTGTAGTAGCGAAGGCCCCCTCCCGGGCGTGCTACACACTGGTACTATTTCACAGAATGAGCTACACACTCTTAGGCGTTTGATGGCTCAGCTGGATTCTACCACAACCTTTTCTTCTTCTGCTTTTTCCAACTTTGCTTACACAGGTATTCCTGCTAGTGCACTCAGTACATCCTCATAATCTCCTTGGATTATTGATTCCAATGCTACCGACCACATGACAGGTGCCTCAAGTCTTTTTTATTCATATTCTCCTTGTTCTGGGTGAGATAAGGTTAGAGTGGCAAATGGCACTTCATTCTCTATCTCCGGCAAGGGTTCGGTTCTTTGTTCCTCTTTATTGTCTCTTTCATCTGTGCTTCATGTTCTTAATTTTTCTACTTACTCTCTGTTAGTAGTCTTACTACCTCTCTAAATTGCTCCGTGACCTTTTTTCTTACTCATTGTGTCTTTTAGGAACTGGCTACGAGGAAAATGATTGGCGGTGGTAGAGCACAAGATAGACTGTAATTTCTGGATGCTGTTCCTTCTGCCTTTTTGTCATCTCAAGCTCTCAAGTGCACTACTGGCTCCTCTCTTCATCTTCTCCATCAATGGCATCATCGTTTAGGTCATCCGTCCTTTAGTGTTTCAGAGAAACTTTTCCCTTCTTTAGTTCGTGATTGTCCTAGGCATAATTTTGGTTGTGATGCTTGTGAACTTGCAAAGCATGAATGTACTTGTTATCCTTCCATTAATAAAAGTACTTTTCTTTTTATGCTTATTCACACCGATGTGTGGGGCCCCTCCCCTGTGGTTTCTACTTCTGGGTATCAGTGGTTTGTTACTTTTATTGATTGTTATTCCTGTGTGACTTGCATTTACTTGCTTCGAACTAAAAGTGAAGTGTTTTCTTGTTTTCAAATTCTTCAGAGTGATAATGAGACTGCGTATGTTGATAGAGCTTTTCAGGCATACCTAGAGGAGCAAGGCATCCTTTATCAGACTAGTTGTATTGGCACTCCTCAACAAAGTGGAGTTGAACGCAAGAATGGCCATCTTCTTGAAATTGTTCGCTCTCTTTTATTTACCATGAAAGTCCCTCAGTCTTTTTAGGGTGACGTTGTTTTTACTGCTGCTTACCTTATTAATCGTACGCCTTCTAGTGTCCTCCAATTTCAAATTCCTCTCGAACTTCTACCTGTCACTTATCCCACCCCTTCTCTTCCTCTTCGGGTTTTTGGGTGTGTCTATTTTGTTCATCTCCAACCTTGTGCTTGTGGCACACTTGATCCTAAGGCTGTGCATTGTGTCTTTATTGGCTATTCTGCTACTTAGAAGGCTTACAAATGCTATGATCCATACACTCGTAAATTGTATGTTAGTATGGATGTCACCTTCCATGAATCTGAGACGCACTTCCATGTTAGTATGTTATCGCACAATGTTAGTATGTTATCGCACAATATCACAGACGCACTTCTCCACTTACACCATCCCGCCTTAATCCTATGGGCCACATCCGCATCAATCTCCCCAGTTGTTGTGATAATCAACCCTAAATAACGAAAATGTTCACTCTTAGGCAGTTCTTGGTTCTCAATCTTCTCCTCTACTTTCATTGTTACTGTTACTAAATTTACACTCATGTACTCTGTCTTAGTTCTGCTTATCCGGAATCCTTTAAATTCAAGAGCTTTTCTCCATATTCTCCATCAGTAGTTAATAGTCCTATTGTTGATGATTTGAGTCTTCCAATTGCTCTTAGAAAGGGGGTTAGGGCTTATACTCAACACCCTATTTCTAAATTTGTGTCATATGATTCATTGTCTCCTACATATTGTGCTTGTGTTTCGTCTCTGTCTTCTGTGTGTATCCCATAGGGTTGGAAAGAAGCTATCAATGATCCTAAGTGGAAAGTAGCTATGGTAGAGGAGATACAAACTCTGAGCAAGAATAACACTTGGGAGTTGTTTCCTCTTCCTAGTGGAAAAAAACTAGTAGGGTGTAAGTGGGTGTTTACCATTAAGCAGAAAGCAGATGGGACAATTGAACGGTACAAAGCAAGATTAGTGGCCAAGAGGTTTACCCAGATGTATGGAATTGATTATCAAGAAACTTTTACTCCTGTTGCAAAGATGAATTCTATTCGAGCTCTTCTTTCTTGTGCTGCCAACTTGGGATGGTCTTTACAACAACTGGATGTAAAGAATGCCTTTCTCCATGGTGACTTGGAGGAGGAGGTGTATATGGATGTACAACCGGAATTCTCATCTCAGTCTACATTTGGCAAAGTTTGAAGGTTGAAGAAGGCTCTATATGGTTTGAAACAATCTCCCCGAGCTAGGTTTGACCGATTTCTAAAGGCCATGTTGAGATTTGGGTATAAGTAGAGTGATGCAAATCATACCATGTTTGTCAAACACAATGCAAATAAGGTTGTTGTACTTATTGTATATGTGGATAACATAGTAGTGACAGGAAATGATGAGGAGGAAGTGACGCATCTCAAGAGGCAATTGGCCAAGAAATTTGAGATCAAAGATCTTGGCCCTTTGAGATACTTTCTTGGAATTGAAGTTGCTAGATCTGACAAAGACATCTTTATTTCTCAAAGGAAGTATGTTCTAGATCTTCTTGGAAAAACTAGCATGTTGGGTTGCAAACCTTCTGATTCACCCATTGAAGCTAACCATCGTCTCTGCAGTGGTGTTGGTGATAAGGATAGGTACCAAAGACTTGTGGGAAGACTTATATATTTATCCCATACTCGTCTCGATATTGCTCATGCAGTCGGAATAGTGAGTCAATTCATGCATGATCCTCGTGCAACATATTTAGATGCAGCTTATTGCATTTTGAGGTACCTTAAATCGGCTCTGGGAAAAGGGATTCTGTTTTCAAATCATGGCCACTTTAGAGGTCTTCACGGATGCATATTGGGCTAGTTCTATGGATGACAGGCGATTTACTTCTAGTTACTGCGCTTTTGTGGGGGGCAAATTTGGTTACCTAGCATAGTAAGAAGCAAGCAGTTGTGTTCAGGTCTAGTGCAGAAGTAGAATATAGAGCTATAGCACATGGTACATGTGAACTTATGTGGCTTCAATCCTTGTTGGGCGATATAGGAATCATTTGTGACGGACCCGTGACTTTGTGTTGTGACAACAAAGCTACTATCAGACATTTAAATCGACAGACATTTTATTAAGGAGAAATTGACTAAGGGTCTGATATATATGCCTTATGTGAAGTCGAAAGATCAATTGGCTGACATATTTACTAAAGGTCTTAGCAATAAGGTCTTCCATCCTATTTGTTGCAACTTGGGCATGAGAGATATATTTGCACCCACTTGATGGAGAGTGTTAAGTGCTATTGTTATCTAAGGGTAGTTTAGTACTTTAGCTTATGTTTATGTTTATTAACTTAAATATGTATGCTTAAGTTGTAACCTTATTATCATTGAAATAATATTAGAGCAGCGACTTCTCTCTTTCTCTCTCGGTTCATTCTTCTTCCTCTTCTTCTTCATCTATGAAGCTAACAAAAAACAACCTTAACCTGTTATCATAGCCTATGAAGCATGGATACTTCCATATCGAAATTGTATTGGATACCAATACTTTTTGGATACTCACAAATGCTTATCTAATACTTCCCAAAAATATCCCAATTAAAGTTTATTTGTCTTTAATTTTAGAATCAAAGTATCATATATGTTCAAGATACTCCAAGTATTCAACATATTTTGACAATAAGATGTGACATTTCTTGTGTAATGTTAGAGTATAATTGTTAGAATAAATGTAAGACTAGTTTCTTCAAATACTTTGCGTGCTAGACCAGAAAAATTGAGAAACAATAAAATTAAAGCATGTCAACTTTTGTCGAAATTTGCGTCCTCATAACATAACCTTAATCTTTTTTCACATGAATACGTTATAAAACTGAAATAAAGAATATTTAACTGATATTCAAATACATAATTAGTAATAAATATGTTATGATAAAATTACTTTTATATTTATACACATACATACATACAAGATATATATATATATATATATATAGGTTTAGTGTAGTTTTCAAACCCAATCCAACTTGTTCTTGAATGTTGTCAAATCAAAGTGCAAAACAGATTCAACGCCCTGGTCTCAATCAATAGTAGACCAATCTGTGAGGAATGCTGATGGGCTACCATTGGACCACGGTGGCTCATCCTCGGAATCTGAAAATAAAACAAAGACAGAATGGAATCATTTCGTTTCAGTGACATATATAATCAGACTGAATAGGATTTGAATAGCTGTCACGATCATTCGCATCAATTTTAGCAGGCAGGAAGGGTGTGGAAGCTACCGTTTCTAGAATGCAAACAAGGTAGCTTCATGTTAGCAGCTCGTCCTTTTTCTATTTTGACCACCTAGTCTAACGCAATGTTTAGGTCTTTGTGTATGTGACGCCTAGCTACAAACTCTATGTGATTAAGTAGGTGCTACACTGCCTTATGCATCAGTGGCATATTCACTCTAAACGAGAACCAGTTGACTGAAGACTTGATTATTGGTATACCAATCAGTCCAGCCGAGTTGATCTGATTCAGGAAACTCCCTCCAGAGCAAAGCAAGCTGTAAGTCAGTTTCAAGTCTGCCTTTCTGGAAGAACGCTAACTACACACCGCGTCTCTTTTTGACTTAGCAAAGTGCAGATGCAATGCTTAGGAGGTGAAAACTACTGAATTGAAAGTTCTGGAAGGTTTTTAGCAGTATATCGTAGTTGGTGCAATACATATTTATTGTTGTATCATACTTTTTTTTTTTTTTTTTTTTTATAAATTTTTCATATTGGTATCCTTCTCATGTTGTTTCTCTATCCTGTATTCATATCTATGTTTCATAAATCATGTCAGCAAAATCAAAGCTTTTCAAGTATTATTTCAAAAGTACAAATTAGCTTAACTAAAATAAAAATAACCCATCCAGAAAAATAATTAAAATAAATCAACAAGACTCTGATTTTTACTTGGAAGAAAAAAAAAAAAAGAAAGAAGGGGTAATTAGGGTTTTGTTACCTCACATCCGTGGATTCCGAGTCTGACTCTGGGCATCTCAAAATCAGCCATTGTTTGTGTAATCGATCACTTACACTTTCTTCTTCCTCCTCAACTCAACTCTGCAATAATATGTATATTGGGCCATATAGCATTACCAATATTTGAAAAAAAAAATTGAATACCAATATATATACTGGGCAAGTTGTTTTTTTTTTTTTTTTTAACAAATACACCTCCATGACTTTTGCTTAAAGGAAAAATGCTATAAGCTCCAAATTTTCTACTAAATAAATTACTAAATGTCTCGGGTGGGGTCCACAAAATTGCGGACCCCATGAGACATTTGGTCATTTGCTTGGTAGAAAATTTGGTATCCCTAGCATTACCCTTACTTAAAATACATGTTGTCCGTTATAGTTTTAAAAATTACATCTCACCCCTTTAAATTTTTAATTTCACAACAAATGACTCATTTTAAAAAAAAAAATATTAAATCAATTAACAGTTTTTAATAATGTCATAAATATATTTCAATTAATAATTCAAATAATTTTATTGTTGTGTAGGAGAGTAGTTAGAAATTTTATTTTTTTCTATTAATTTTGCTAAATAAATTTTTTTACAATAGAGTATTTGTAATTTTTAAAACTGTAAGGAGTAATTTGTATTTCAAATAAATCTCATAAACGTATTTGTAATTTAATTTTTTTAGATAAATTACATTCACCTCCCCTAACATTTGGACAAAATGTTGTTAACCCCACCCCACTTTTCACCAAAAAAAAAGTTATATAGCGATCCCGGTCTTTTCCCATTTGATTATTGTATCCGGACTTAGGTTCCGTAGATTCTGTCATTGTATAATTGTTGTTGTTGTCCTTTATTTTCTCATTTGGAATTATAGGATGTGTTGGGCAGGTTTGTTTCAGGTTGGTTGGGTTTAGAAACCAAGTGTTGCTGTCCAGGATTTTGGTTCTTCGCTCGAGCGAGGAGTTGGTCGCTCGAGCGAGAGATGGCGTCCAGTATTGACCTGTAGCTCTGCATTCTTGGCTCGAGCGAGATTTTCTTCGCTCGAGCGAGTTAGTTTGTCCTTCGCTCGAGCGATGGTTCTTTCGCTCGAGCGTGAGTCTGATTACAGACCTGAGGATTTGAGTTCTTCGCTCGATCGAGTTTTCTTTCGCTCGAGCGAGCTTTTGGGTTGCTGGCTCGAGCAAGGCTTCCTTGGCTCGAGCGTTGCTTTTCTGTGTCTGGTCGCTCGAGCGACCATGTCTTCGCTCGAGCGAGCCTGTCCAGTTTATATACACAGCAGCGGGTTTTGATCAGTCTTTTTCATCTTCTTTTGATTCCAAACCCTAGGTCCGACTTCTCTCTCTCCCTACTCACCTTCTAATATCCCTATGATCCACTTAGGGAGTGTTTCTACCCTAGATCCTTCATTAAAAAGATACAGGGAGTCGAGGGCTTTCATTTAATCTGAACATTTGGCGATTTGGAGCACATTAGTATTTGGGCACTCATCTCTGTCTTCACCATTTGGGAACATTTAAGCATATAATCAATGCTTCCAGCCAGTGTACCACAGGATGATTTGTGAGGCTTGTTATATCAAGTGACAGGGTAAGCATGGATTGCTCTTATTTTGTTATTTTTTTGGACTCTACTCACCATATTTTTAAATTTGTTTAATAATCAAGTTGATCCAAACTTGATTTGAATAGACTCGTGAACATAATTATACATTAATTAATATTTATTTTAATAATATAGAAAATATATGTTTATTAATTTATTTTATTTTTCTATTTTATGTTTGGTGTTTTCTCTTTTTATATATTTGATTGATGAATTTTATTAATCATATGAGCAATATTTTATATTTTGTTTGTAATCTTCTTCTTCTTCTTCTTCTTCTTCTTCTTATTATTATTTTTTACTTTATTTCATTTTTTTAATGTGCATATTAATTTAAGTTTCATTTGTCATTTCAAACTCAAGTTCAAACTCAACTAGAGTAAAATAAACATTCAAAACATATATAGATAATATTTTTACTTCAGTTCTATGTAATTAGAAAATAAAAAGAGAAATAAGCATTATATGCAAAATTTATAAAATAGAAGCGTAGCGGTTGTAACGGTGCTATAGCAACAATGTAATGACCATTATAGCCTTTATATAATGATTGCGGCCGTTATAGTTGTGAATTTTGTCGCACCACTATAGCAACCGTAACAAGTGGTGATAACCACCACAATCATTACGTAATGGTTATAGCCGCTTTTTAAAATCTTAGATTAATTGGTCAAATTACAAGATTGATCAATTTTGTTAATTTCCATTCACACATAAGTTATATGATATATAATTCAAAATGATTGATAATCTCGAACTTAAAATTCTATGAATATTAATATTCAATCTCCACTTCAAAGTTCCTAATCCTGCAATAGAACCTATAGTCTTGGTTTATTTTGTTACTGGCTATTTCTTCCCTTATTGCCGTACCTCCATGTTCCTCATTTAATAGTTTCTCAAAATAGTTCTTCTATCTTTCCTTAATCTCTTCATCCCTCACCAATACCTTAGAATCCTCACTCTTGATGCACTTGACTTGATTAAAATCTCTTGTTTTCCTCTCCCGTATCTTAGCAAGTTTGTATACCCTCTTCTCTCCCTCCTTGCTATCTAGTCTAGTGTATAGATCATCATTAGCTTTCAACTTAGCCTCTCTCACTACTTTCTTGACCTCCTTATTAGCCAATCTATAGCTCTTAAGGTTTTCCTCAGTTCTTTCATTCTGCCACTTT